CAGATGGACTCCATCTGAGAGTGCTGGAGGAGCTGGCTGAGGTCATTGCGGAACTCCTGGCAAAGCTCTTTCAGTATTCGTGACACACAGGGAAGATCCCTGAGGATTGGAAGAGGGCCAACATTGTGCCCATTTTCAAGAAGGGGAAGATGGAGAACCAAGGCAACTATAGGCCAACCAGCCTAACCTCTATTTCAGGACATTCTTGGAAAAGCTCATTAAAGAATCCATGTGCAATACGCTCATGGAAGGTAAGATTCTGAATGACAGCAAGCATGGCTTTGTCGTGGGTAGGTCTTGTCTCCTTCTACAACCAGGTCTCTCGCCACATGGACATGGGAGACAAGGTAGATGTTATATACCTAGACTTCCAAGCCTTTTGATCTAGTATCCCACAATATCCTTGTGGGAAAACTGGAAGATTGTGGGCTCAGCTGCTCGACAGTTCAGTGGGTGGGAAACTGGCTACAGGGTAGGACCCAGAGAGTTGCCATGAACGGATCTGTGTCATCCTGGTGTGAAGTAGCAAGTGGTGTTCCTCAGGGGTCTGTGCTTGGACTGGTGCTTCTCAATATCTTTATCAATGATTTGGATGGGGGAGTGAAAAGCTCACTGGCCAAGTTCGTGGACGACACCAAATTATAGAGCAGTGTGGCCACATGAGAAAATAGGTTGCAGATACAGGCAGACCTGGACAGGCTAGAGAGTTGGGCAGACTGGAACCAGATGAAGTTTAACACTTCCAAGTGTAAGGTGCTCCATCTGGGGTCAAACAACCCTCAGCATACATACAGGATCGGAGATGATGGCCTGACTTGCACCATGGCCAAAAGGGACCTAGGGGTAATGATTGACTGTTGCATGAACATGAGCTGTCAGTGCGATACAGTGGCCAGCAGGGCAAACAACATGCTGGCATGCATCAACCGATGCATCTCATGTAAAACAAAGGAAGTGATACTCCCACTCTACTCAGCACTGGTGAGTTCTGGGCGCCACACTTCAATAAGGACATGGAAAAACTTGAGGGGGTCCAGAAAAGGTCTGTGTGCGATACACTTGCAAAAGGTAAGATGATGATCCATATGATAAGGGACTTGCAAGGCAAGCCATACGAGGAAAAGCTGAGGGATCTGGGCCTGTTTAGCCTAAAGAAGAGAAGGTTGAATGGGGACTAGATAGGGGCTAGATATCAGAATAGTTCATCAGGAGCTTGGTGAACAACTGTTCACTAGGGCACCCCCAGGGAAGACCAGGACCAATGGATACAAACTCTTGGAAGGCTGCTTCAGGCATAATACCAGGAAAAACTCCTTCACAGTCAGCATGTCCAGACTGTAGAGTAAACTCCCTTCAGAGGTGGTGCAGTCACCTACCCTGGAGGTTTTCAAGAGGAGACCGGACAGTCACCTTGCTGGGGTCACTTGATCCCAGTTGTCTTCATGCCTAGAGCAGGGGGGCTGGACCTGATGATCTGTGAGGTCCCTTCCTGCCCCTAACAATATATGAATCTGTCTGGTCTTTGAATATATTCTCGGTCATATATTGTGTATCAAGGGCATGCCTTTCCTCTGTCACTTGCCGACACTTTACAAGGCCTGTTATGTGATCTAACCGCAGGGTAAATTGGGAGTTATCATGGTTTTTCATAGTGTGAACCACGTAACAGAGATTCTTATGCCCTCTGTGGTAGAATGCCACCTCTGTCTCTCCCCATAAACTCTGCTATATGACAGTTTAGCTTTTTAGGTAACCCTGAGTTTTAACCTGAGCTGGGTACATTCCTGAGGGAGGGGGGTAACCTGCTCCCTCTGCCTACATGACTGGTATCACATACCTGGGTGAGGGGCTTGGGCTTCCTTTTGTTCTGAGCAATGCCAGTCTACCCAGCAACCAGTGATGAATTTCAAATTGGTTGGCTAGCAGCCAACAGGTGCTGGCCTCCATTGGACCAGGTAAATCAGGTCATAAGGGCTATATAAGTTAAGGAGAAGGGGCAGTAGCCATGAAGCTGGACCATCTGAAACTTGCTCTCTCTTGAAACTCATGATGAAGGAACTGCATGCCTCCAGCGGGAATCTCCACCTGCCTCTGGATGATACTTGTGAGTAAGCTACCTGAGATCTAACTAGATATATAGCTTGCAGTAATTCAGATGTGTTATCAAAGGCTACCCAGCCACCCTGCTTGCTCTATGGGATTTGATATTGCTCTACCCTGTACCCTATTCCAAACCTACTCCTTGTAACCAGTAAAGTTCTCCTTTGTGCCTAGTGTGGGAGACTTATTGGGAGAGGAGCTAGATTATGCCTTGGGGTCCTCTTAGTTCAGTTGACTAATGGAGACCACTATTTGTGCTTCAGACCAAGGGAAGCACCCCAAGTTCTTGAAGTGGGTTGAGTACCCTCAAGAGCTACTAGGCCTGTGTTTACCAAGGGGGTACAGAGCCAGGATCACTCCAGACTCTGGGTGGTGGCGGTGTTACCCCGGGCTAGCGGGTTTGCTCCAGAAAGGGGGTTGGCCAGATGTGAGGTGTCTCCAGGGAGGCACTCGGAGTCTGGAAGGTGGTTGGGTGCAATGAGGTGAGTGGCTTAGCACGGGAACACCCGCTACTGGCCTGCCACACCCTTTTCCATTTACAATTGTACAATAAACTACAATAAGAGGCTTACATGGAATAGTTGTATTAAGAAAGCATGTATTTTGAATAAAATGAAATGGACATCTATTGAAGCAGATGGAAGACAAGGCACCCATTTTCTAAAAAACCAGTGTTAAGTGTTGTGTGGCCTCACAGAGCACAGCTTGGAAGCTGCTTGGTTGACATCTATAACAGGGCTGTCTAACTGTCTAGTCATGGACTTTATGAAGTCTGCAGTGGACTAGTTTGTAGCTCCTGGGCTCCACCTAGCCATCACTTCCCCCCACATCACTCTGGCTACTGCAGCAGCAGCAGTCAGAGGTTCCAGGCTCACCCTTGGTATGGTTTCTGATTCCTGCCTCACCCCAGGCAGGGGGCTTAGCAGCATCACACAGCATGTGGTATCAGGGAAACTGATGTCATGGGGTGCCAGCATGGCATGGTACAGTGGAGGAACCTGTGGCCATGGAAATGAGAGTAGGGCTGAGGCACTTGCACCCATGCACCTGGACATGAGATGCAAAAGTGGGGAAGCACCCTCATGCTTGGTGCAGCAGGGGAGCGATTGGGAGGCCTGGGGCTTGTATGCACGCTGGTGCATATGCCCCTGCTGGTGAGGCCCACAGGGCATGCAGCCCCTGACTGCTAAGAAGATGGATATCCCTGTTCTATAACAAAACAAACCCAACCTCTACTGAGAAGCGAATCCCTGTATTTGCGTACAACGTACGGTATCCCGTACAATACTTGTTTACATAACCTAAAGTAAGGTTATAATTTGCAGCTCTTTTTAAAGAATGGTGAAGCCATGTTGTCATGAAAAAGGTTCGATGTATGCCTGCAATTGTGTTGTGCCACTTGACCTTAACTCATATGTGTCAGCCCAGGAAAGAGGTCTCCAATATGGGCTGAAGTGCTCTAGGGAATGATGCTGAGGATTCCAAAGGTGGCATTCTTTCCTTTCTGAGGGCTGGATGCTATCACCCTTCCTTACTTTGACTAATACCTTATTCTGTGACTAGTCCCTTGGGACTACTGATTGGGGAAGGCCCTACTTATCATGTATAAGAGCTGCAGAGAGCATGTCTTCACTGCAGTTGCTACTTTAAACAAGCTAGCTCTGGTACTCCTGGTGGTATATATGTGGAACAACATAGGATAAGATGACAACTAGAAAGCCTGCCCAAGGAGCAAATACTCAGGTGGTGAACTCATGCTAAGCTCTGTGCTGCTGTGGCTACACTGTTCCCAGTATTCAAGCTACCTGCTGTAGCTTTAAATTGGTGGAGGTGACTGCCATGTGGACATAATCTGTTCACAAATGAGTATAGAGATATGTTGTGTTTTAGAATATGTGATCTTAATGAAAATTAAAAGTAAGTCCAGACCCACTGAGTTTTTTAGACAGCTTGCAACACTTACTGTAAGAGGTGTGATGTTAAATTTGGTATCCTAATTGAATTCTAGCCTGGGTAGCTACATAGTACTGACTCAAACAATTTGCACCAGGATTTGGACACAATATATATTCCACTTTTTTGTTTGTTCTGAGTAATCTTAGTAATGTTGGCATGTTGTTGTTTCTGTGATGGTCCAGGAAATGTATGAGAGGCAAGGATTTTTAGTAATATCTTTTATTGGACCACCTATGTAGTTGGGAAAGTTGTTGGACAAGCTTTTGGGTATCAAGTGCCCAGGTCTCTTATTCGCTTTCTTCCCCCAAACATGATTGCATATAGATGGCTAGAAAAGTGATCCCACAATATTGTTTCTATAAATTTGTTTAGTTTCAGTTCCTTTGGGATGGAAGGCTCTATATAATTCTAGTAATATCTATTTAGATTGAAACGAATACAGTTCTTTCCCACTGGGGGAATGACTGAGATTTGGAGTGTATTTAATTTCAGTATATTTAATAAACCCAAAGATTAAAACAATAGATCCACTAGGTAAATCATTTTTTGTGCTACACTGGAAATAACCAACAGAAGAATTGAGCATGATATAGCAATCAAAGGCCTTCATCAGAGGCTAATATTTTCTGAGTGGTGACTCATCCTTTCACAGTAAATGAGCACTAAGAAAGATCAGTGTTATGTACCATGATCATAGTTACTGCTAAGTAGGAACAAATGATCAAAGTAAATCTTTTACTTTGAAAGCAGAGGGAGAAGAACTTCACTGCATGCATGAAAGTGAGCTGGGTTTTCATGTGTGTTCATTTATTTGGAGACAATTAATAGTAGTAAGGGAAATACACATATGCAGCTACGTTGTTCCATAACATCTTTAAAGAAAAATATGCAAATATTGCTGTGTGAGTTCAGCAGCTTATAATGTTCTTTCATTGTGGTTTTAGAACATTTAACCAGACAGTTGGAACCTTTGAAGAACTCCAAACATACCTTGCAGGTTATGTGGCTAATCTGACCCGTGCTGATGAAAGAAGACAAGCTAAGTAAGTCTGATGCAATTTGTCAGATGTGTCCCTACTATGAGATCCTAAACGTGTGATAGCTATCCTGATTGCATCATTTTGTTGGGCAGTAGGGGGACAATGCTTAGCTATTATAACCTGTTTATTAATAGCACAGATGGTTAGATTATGAATAAAGATCTCTGAAATAATGAAATACGAGTTTCAGCATCTGGACTTCCAAGCGAAGAGCTAAATACAGGATGGTCTGGTTTATGAGGTCCATAAAGAGAATGTAAAATTGTCTGTCTTTGTGGAAATGAGTATGTGTTAATTCTGTTTTAACATTTTTTTCTCAGTCACAAAGGTGGCAGATGTCAAACTGTTTATTAGACCTGTTTGAAAAAGAAAAAAGTAATAAAGTAAAGCTGGGTTACAGTATAAAAAATAATTTGCTTTTTCAAACAGAAGTGCTTAGATATTTCAGTATAGTGGTGACATGAAAATGTTTGTTTAGAACCACAATCAACAACTGTAACTCATCTAAGAACTTTAAGGAACAATCTGATTTGTGGAGTGTGTGTGTTAATGCTAATCAGAACAGAAAATACACCTCCAGTTTCAATTTATGCCAAGTTGTAAAGGAACTGGTGCATAATAACTGGTAGCTTGGCTTTCCAAATTGGGGTCCATCTCTGAGGTGTGCTCAATGCCTCTGTAATCTGCTCAGTATCCTTTACTTTCATTAAACACAACAGTAGCTGAAAGCACTCAGAATGTCACAGGAGGTCTTTACCTCTCTGCATTAGGCTTTAAAATGTTGATTGCAGAATCTTTATTTAATATTTTGAAAGATGTCTTCTGGACACATGGGCTAGAGACAGACATTACACACAAACCAGTTTAAGTGGTCAGAAACTGGTTTAAACCTGTAACATAATGGATGTTCAGTGCACATAAACCAGTTTGAAAATGGTTGAAACTGGTTTGAGATAAACCTGGTTGAATGTAGGATCAGACTTAACTGATTTGGCCCAAACCAGTTTATGCAATGTCTGTCCCAGATCCTTTTCTGGTTTAAGTTAAATCTGACTCCCTCAGCATGCTCTCTGGGCTGGGTGTGGTTTTCTGCTCCACAGCAGAGCTTGCCCCTCCCCTCTGCTCCCTGGCTTGGAGCTTGGCAGAGACTGCAGGTGTCTCCCTGGTGGCCCCCCTCCCCTCCCTGTCCCCTCTGCCTTAGACAGCTCTTAGCATTAGCTAGCAGACCACATGCTGGCTACTAGGCCTGTGTGAAGCAGCACATATTTGCTTCGGATTCAGAGGGATGGTGATTCAATTTAGTGATTTGAATCACTGTCCTGATCTGATATGGCTGAATTGGATTTGAAGATTTGGCGCCGCTTCAGAGATACAGCCATAGACTAAACAAGCAGCAGTCCTCAATGCCGGACACAGCTGCCTCCAGCTGGTAAGTCTGTTGTATGTGTGGGTGGAGGGGGGGACAGATCAGTGCCCTCACAGCAAGGGAGGGATTGAGGCTGGGGCTGGGACCAGGGCTGGGGCAAGTGCTGCCCAGGGAAGGGGTGGAGTGGCTCACATCGCTGCTTGTCATCGGTCTGGGAGCCGCTTGTGGGGCCGCTGCTGCTCCTGGCACTGGTCTGAGAGGGAATGGGGCAGGGGAGTGTGCTCCGGGATCTATACGGAGTGGCTGAGGCCAGGGCCATACGGGGCGAAAGGCAGAAGACGCTGGGAGCGGGAGCTATGCCCCCCCTGCCACTCATCCTGCTGGTGCAGGGCCAGGACGAGGTTGAGCCCCTGTACTGCCTCTGGATGAGCAGCAGCTTTGCCCCGGCTGGGCGAGCGGCAGCGGGGCATGTGGGGTGGGCCATGTGCCTCCAGATCAGGATGTGGCAGGTGGCAGAGTAGAGGCTGTGGGGAGGCATGTGTCCCCCATGCCCTGCTGCCATTCGCTCAGCCCCTGCTGCCGGGTTGTGCTCCGTGGGGCGGGTGAAGCCAGGGCGAAGCAACTGCTCATCTGGAGTCAGCGCAATGGCTGAGCCTCATGCCAGCCCTGCAAGTTTTTGGGTGGCACATGCCCCCACCATGCCTTGTTGCTGCTCATCCATGAGGCGTGGGGAGGCTGGACTGGCTCCTGTCACTGTGCTCTGCTTGTCCAGAGGCAGCACAGTGGCTAAGTCTTGTGCCAGCCCCGCACAAGTGGCATATCCCCTGCTTCCAGCACCTTTTGCTCGGAGCAGCCCCAGCTCTGCCTGCTCTGCACAGATCCTGGGGCATATGCCCCTGCCCCATGCCCTCCCAGACTGGCAGTGGAAGCAATGGCGCAAACTGCTGAAAAACCACCACACAAGCAGCTCCTGGATTGGTGACACGCAGCAGCGTGAGCTGCCCCACCCCCTCCCTGGCCAGGGCTGTGCTCCGGGCTGCAAGACCCTGCTGCCAGCCTGCACTCCATGGGGTGAGCAGAGCCAGGGCTGTACTCCAGGAGGCTAGCTCCCATTGCCTGCTGACTGCTGCACTACACAGGGCAGGTAGAGCCAGGGCTGTGCTCCAGGCTGTGACTTGCTGCCCAGAGTGCAACCCTGGCTCCACCCGCCCCACAGAGCGCAGCCCGGCAGCATGAGCTGGGTGAGAAGCAGCAGGGCATGGGGTGGAGCATGTGCAATCCGAAAACTTGCTGCAGCCCCCACTCCGCTGCCTGCCCTGCCCTGATCCAGAGGCACACACTCCCCTCCCCTGCATGCCCTGCTGCTGCTACTTCCGAGGCAGCACAGGGGCTCAGTCTTGCACTGGCCTCACACTGACTGGGCAAGCGGCGGCAGGGCATTGGGGGGGGCATGTGTCACCCCAAAACTCACAGCTCTCCCATACGCCCCCACTCCACCACATGCCCCACCCTGATCCAGAGGCACATCTGCCCCCCACCCCACGTGCCCTGCTGCTGCTTGCCCAGCTGGAGCGATGCCACTGCTTGTTTGGAGGCAGTGCAGTGGCTCAGTCTCATGCCAGCCCTGCACCGGCTGGGCAAGCGGTAGAGGGGCATAGCCTCCATTCCCAGCTCCTTCTGCCTTTTGTCTGGTACAGCCCCAGCCCTGCCTGCCCTGCGCAGATCTTGGGCACATGCCCACACCCCATGCCCTCCTGGACTGGTGGTGGGAGCAGCAGCAAGAGCTGCCAGACAAGCCACCACATGAGCAGCTCCTGGACTAGCAGCATGTAGCAGCGCGAGCTGCCCCACCCCCTCCCTGGGCTGTGCTTGTCCCAGCCTGAGCTCCAATCCCTCCCTCACTGTGGGGGCATTGATCTGCTCCCCCCAACACCTCTTTACTCCCACTCTGGCCACCACAACAGACTTACCAGCTGGAGGCAGCTGTGTCCAGTGTCAAGGACTGCTGCCTGTTTAGTTTATGGCCAAATCTCTGAAGTGGCGCTGAATCTTTTCTGAATTGATTCAGAAGGTTCCAGTTCGATTCAGTCCTTTTAATTTGTCTCCCGATTTCAATTCAGATTCAGAGATTTGGCTGCCAAATTGAGCTGAATCTCCTCTGAATTGAATCGGCTACTGAAGGTTTGTACAGCCCTACTAGCTATGGTCCATGCTGTGGCAGACAGGATAAAGGCAGAATCAACAGGTAGCTGGTAATGTCCCTCTGTTGGTTTCTTAATGGGGTGATAAACACTGTGTTATCAATTCCCTGCTGGGCTGGGCAGAAGGGGGTGGGGAACCCCTCTCTAATCAGAGTATCCTGCTGGGACCTGGCCATGCCCCCCTCAGATCAGCAGTATATGCCTGCATATCTGGGCTGTCTGGGCAGTTACAGACTGGTTTAGCCTAGCCAGGTTAGACTAACCTGCAAAGATTGAATCAATTCAGGCTCAGGCTTTTTGAATGTCTGGCCCTAATCATGCAGTTAGCACATGTGTAAGAACATGTTCTTCCCCTGTTTCTTGGTCATGTTAACATTTTATATAAGAACAATATGTAAGCTCAATTGAAGGTAAAACTGACAAATGTGGGTACTTAACGTTAATCACTGTGGAGTATTGTTAGTCACCTCAGGAAAATGTAGTCACCTACCTTCAAATCAGATGAGTGTTTTGCTAAATTATTTGCTAAATTATCTGTTAAATTGTCAGTGTTTTGTCACCTGGTGATCTTTAATAGCATTTCAGTTCTGATTTTACAGCTAATAGAAGGGTGGCAAGAAAATACTTATTGGAATAGTAATTGTGCAGGATGAAGAAAGCAGGTCAGAAGTCAGAGGTTTGTTTTGAAAGGATATTTTGAAAGAATATTAAGATAATAATTTGATTATGGAGGACAACTTACTAAAACACATTATTTCTTCATGCAGGAGATCCTCCTGTGGGCAGTTGACTAACGAGCTCTCTTTGGAGATGATACAGCTGAAGGAGAAAGTAGACCGATTCCCTTCTTCATCCCCATTCCAGAACCTCGAAGTTGTCACAACTCTGGGTGTTGGTGGGTTCGGAAGGGTTGAACTTGTAAGAGTTTGTTTTAAACATCTGAAAATAGTTTTTAACTGGAATGTTTGTTTGTTCTACCAACTACTGCTGCCTCATGACTACATAGTACATAATCTGGAAATCTTTGCTACATTATATACACGTATAAACACGTTAAACTAAAAAGAACTATGTAGTGACTGAGCAAAAAGAGACCCCCTATAGCCCCATACATTATTTTCAGAATAATTCATTTGAATTTATGGAATGTGGTAATGTCCATTTCTTTGCACTGTCCTAACTGAGTCAAGTAGGTACCATATAGATCATGTGTCAGCAACCTATGGCCTCTGGGCTGGATCCGGCCTCTGAAGAGCTTGGATCCCACCAGCAAAGGTCTAAAGCAGCCCGTGGTGATGGGGAGAGGGTATTGATGATACATGATGGCAGGTGCCAACTTAAAGGCCATGTTCTGCATTTCCAGTCTGCCTGCTGCTTGGGCAGTTGACCAAGGAGATCTCTTTGGAGATGATACAGCTGAAGGAGAAAGTAGACCTGTTCCCTTCTTCATTCTCATTCCAGAACCTGGAAGTTGTCAGAGCTCTGGGTGTTGGTGGGTTCAGAAGTGTTGTGTTTGTAAGAGTTAGCAGAGAATAGCCCATTCTCTGCTAAACTGACCGTTTCCATTTAGCACTGGCCATGTTTATTTGTGACATATGGTAAACTGAAGCTCTGTTGGGGGTGGCATAATAGCAACCCACAGCACAGGTCGGGTGGCAGTAGGGTGGTGGTGCAGGGAGATTGGAAGCCTGTGGTGTCGGCCGGGTCTCAAGCAGTGGCTCACATTTGTAAAAAGTTGTTGACCCTTAACATATAGCACACCACATGTATTATATACAGAATATATATGTATCATGGAATGGCAAAATATATTGGTAAGCTAATGCATAGAATCGTAGAACCAGAAGGGACCTGTAAGAACATCAAGTCCGGTCTCCTGCCATGGGTAGGAAGTTAACTGGGATCAGATGAGTGCAACAAGGTGCCTGTCCAAATAGGGAACTATTCGATTCGGATTCATATTCGGCTGATTCAGATGCCAGTGATTCAGTTCAGAGATTCAAATTGCTTTTCTGATTCAATTCAGCTGAATCAGCTTTGGAAGATTTGGAGTTGATTTGGAGAGATTCGGATATTCGCCCATAGAGTATAATGGGGAATCAATGAAATATCTATAACTTTGTTGTTTTTTGGCTGATTTGGATAAAACATACAGAGACGGTAGCCTCTGCTGAGGGCATGAAGCCTGCCAAGTTTCAAGGAGATAGGTGCAGGGATTTCTGAGAAACTGCACCTCAAACTGCTGACAAGCAAAACTCATGACATAGGTGACACTGCGTGTGTGTGTTAAGGCACAGCGGGGTGAAAACTGCAGGCCTGCTAGGCCCTGCTGCAGCCACGAAACCTGCCAGCTGTCAAGGAGATAGGTGCAGAGGGGTTCTGGGGCCCTGCACCTCTGGCTGTTAACAGGCAAAACTTGTGACATGGGTGCTTGTGCGGCTGTGTCTGTCTTGGGGCATGTGGGGGTAGGGAGGGGAAACTACTGCAGGCCTGGCTTCTAGGCCCTGCTGTGGCCACAAAGCCTGACAGCTGTCAAGGAGATAGGTGCAGGAGAGTTTTGGGGCCCTGCACCTCTGGCAGAGAGAAGTCACAGTCACTGGCCAGTTAGAGATGTCAGTCCTTCCCCCCCTGCTTCTCCTCCCTGTCCCTCTTCTAAGTTTCTGTTTCCCCATAAAGACTGTCCTCCAAATCACCGAATCTTTTGTGAATTGATTCAGAAAGTTTAAGCTTCTAGTGCTTTGATTCAGATTCGGGGATTCGGCCTCCGAATCAGTCCAAATCTTCACTGAATCGAATCACAAACTGAAGCTTTGCACAGCCCTAATGTCCAGCCTCTTCTTGAACACCTTAAAAGATGGTGACTGTACTACCTCTGCTGGGAGTGTGTACCAGATTCTGGTGACCCTTACAGAGAAGTTCTTCCTTGTATCTAGACTGAATTTACCCTCTATAAGCTTATGTCCATTGGTCCTCATCCTCCCTTGAGGTGCCTTCCTGAAGAGTTGCTCACCTAAATCTTGGTGTTGTCCCCTGATGTACTTGTAGGTGGCTATCAAATCACTAGGCCTGTACAAATAGGGAACTAGTCAATTAGGATTTGGATTCAGCCGATTCGGAGGACAGTGATTCAAGTCGGAGATTCAGTTCACTGTCCTGAATTGATTTGGTGCCGATTCAGAGAGATTCGGTGATTTGGATCGGCCAGGAAGAGGCAGACACAGCTGGGCAGCTGTGGCTCCTCCAGCTGCGCCTGCCTCTCCCTGGGTGGGGGGAGTCGTGGGAGAAGCCCCCTTGGCTGCCCTGCCTGGCCCCATCACCTGCCAGGTTTCAGCCTAGTCCTGGCACTTAAAAGGAAAAAGAAAAAAAGCAAACCCCACACTCACCTGTTGCAGGAGCAGTGATTGGGGCCTCTGGGCTCTTGTGGCAGAGCCCCCCTGTGCAGTGGGGGGTAGTGAGGATCGCCTCCCTAGGTTGGCACCCACTGCACCCTATGGTGCGGGTGCAATGTGGCTTGGCAGGGCGCCGCACACTGCCTGGGAGCTGGGGCCACTGGGGCTGAGTGTTGCCAGGGTCTGGGTGACACATGGAGCTGCCCCAGCTCCTAGGCAGTCTGTGGTGCACTGCCAAGCCGTGCTGCACTCATGTGATGCGACAGCTGCCACATGGGTGGCAGGTGCTAGGGGAGGAAGTGATTTCTGCTGTCTCCCACTGTCCCATGCTACATGGTGGGCTGGCTCAGCCATGAATAGCCAGAGGCCTCCGATCACCACTGCCAGAGCCGATGACTGAGTGCTGCTGGGTTCCAGCTGACTGCTGGAGCCGCCCAAGCTCCCAGAAAGCACCATGGGGCAACTGCCACATGGGTGCCAAGCAGAGGGAGGCATTTCTGCTGCCCTCCACTGCCCCCAGCTGCCTGGGGGGCTCTGCCACGAGCCCTTGGAGGCTGTCAATTGCTGCTGCCAAAGCCGGTGAGTGCGGGACTTTCTTTTCTTTTCTTTTCTTTTCTTTTCTTTTTAAAGTGCTGGGAGGCTGGGAGGCCGGGCTGGTGATGGGGCTGGCCAGGGCAGCCATGGGGGCTTCTTCCGTGGCTCCCCCAGTTGTGCCTGCCTCTGCCCTGGCATGGGGTGCCATGGGGGTTATGCCCTGCTGCTGCCTGCCCAGCTGGGGGTGGCAGGGGGGAATCATGATGCAGGCACGGCAGCGCTGGGAACAGGGTCTCTGCCCTGCTGCCACTTGCCCCCTTCTGCCTGGAGTGAGCTACGCCCACATCCCGCCCCCCCACTGCCCCGCTGGGCAGGTGGTAGCAGGGCAGAGCCTCTGCTCCCAGAGCTGCTGCACCCTCATCCTATGCCCTTCCCCGAGTAATGCACCCCCCACCCCAGATGAGCAACTTGTCCCAGCCCCAATCACTCCCCCCTCCCACAACCCCAATAGACTTACCAGCTGGAGGCAGTTGTCAGCTGCCTGCTTAGTCTATGGCTGAATCTTCAAATCAGCCCAATCTTTTCCGAATCTTTTTCTGAATTGATTTGAATGCTTGGAATCAATTCAGAGCTTTTACTTGGTCTCCCGATTTTATTTGGCTTCAGAGTTTCTGTCCCTGAATCGGACCCAATCTCCTCCAAATCAAATCAGCTACTGAAGCTTCATGCAGCCCTAGAAGTCACCTCTCTGCCTTCTCTTACTCAGACCCAATTCCATGAGTCTCTCCTTGCAGGGCCTATCCTCCATACCTTTGATCATGTGGGTGGCCCTTCTTTGTACTCCCTTGAGCTTATCCATGTCCTTCTTGAAGTGCGTTGCCCAGAACTGGACACAGTACTCCTGCTGAGGCCTCACCAGTGCCGAATAGAGGGGGAGGAGCATTTCCCTGGATCTGTTGGACACAATGGCTGATGCATGCCAGAGTTCTATTTGCTTTCCTGGTTACCGCATTGCACTACTGGCTTATAGTCATCTTCCAGTCGATTGAACCCCCAGGTCTCATTCAGATGCTGTGCCAGCCGGTGGACCACCACCCGTCATGTAGTTGTGGTGAGGGTTCTTCCTACTCAGAAGAAGGACTTTGTACTTATCCCTGTAAAACCTCATCCATTTCGCATTCCATTTTTTTTTACTAATATTGCTAATAATAACCTTCATAGTTTCATAGTGGGTAGGGTCAGAAGGGACCTGAGCAGATCATCAAGTCCGACCCCCTGCCATGGGCGGAAAAGAATGCTGGGGTCAAACGACCCCAGCTAGGTGATTAACTAGTCTCCTTCTGAAGATGCCCAGGGTAGGAGTGAGCACCATAGATTTATAGATGTTAGAGTCAGAAAGGACCTCAATAGATCATCAAGTCTGACCCCCTGCATAGGCAGGAAAGAGTGCTGGGTTCAGCTGACCCTAGCCAGATGCCTGTCTAACCTCCTCTTGAAGACCCCCAGGGTAAGGGAGAGCACTACCTCCCTTGGGAGCTCATTCCAGATTTTGGCCACTCTTCCTGTGAAGAAGTTCTTCCTAATGTGCAATCTAAATCTGCTCTCTGCTAGCTTATGGCCATTATTTCTTGTGACCCCCAAGGGCGCCTTGGTGAGCAGAGCCTCACCAATTCCCTTCTGCACCCCCATGATGAATTTTATAGGCAGCCACAAGTTCGCCTCTCAACCTTCTCTTATGGAGGCTGAAGAGGTCCAGGTGCCCTAGTCTCTCCTAGTAGGGCTTGGCCTGCAAGCCCTTAACCATATGAGTGGCCCTTCTCTGGACCCTCTCCAGGTTATCCACATCCCTCTTGTGTGGTGCCAAAACTGCATGCAGTATTCCAACTGCGGTCTGACCAGTGGCCCCCACTGATAGAGGGGAAGTATAACCTCCTTGGTTCTGTTTGTCATGCATCTGCTGATGCATGATAAAGTGCAGTTAGTTTTGCTGATGAC